GATGTTGAAGGTCGATACAATGATATACAAATGGAGATTTCAACTCCAATCCCTATAATATCTAAGGCTCCAACTGTAAGAAAACTGATCATGTGTCCATCTACCTATAAATGTCAAACAGTTTATTGTAACGTTATTATTTTGTACTTTTTGAAGCACAAAATGATTTATTAATTTTTTGTTGTCATTGTGCTATGATCGTTTTTGTTTTATTAGAACAAAATCAAAGTCATTTTACGTTGTTGTATTTTTTCGCATTATAAACAAATGATTTTTATAATGTTATAGTTGACACATATGTCGTTCTAATATGAAAAATGCATAAATATACAAAACAATATTGAAGTCGTTCCTGAGACACATAACAATATTGATATCGTTTTAGTACGAAAAATGCACTAACTTACGTAAAGACATTAACTTTGTTCCTGAGATACAAAACAAAATTGATAAAGTTTCAGTTTAAAAAATATACTGCTTTGTTGATTTTCATAACGACATTGAAGTCGTTAGAAACCAATAATATGACATGGAAGTTGTTATGTAAAAATATTGCACAACATACGTGACATAAGGAGCCGTCCCGCCCCCGTCCAATGGACCATTTGCTCTCGGGGGAATAAACAACTTCGAGGACTCAATTAAACAGAATGTAAAAGTCATCCAGGTGTGCGCATAAGCTTGCAGAGATGGCGCACGCCTGGGTAGTTACTGAGAGGTACTGAGAATAACTAATTACAGTGGGCGTGTGCCTTAGTATATACTGGGCATGCGCCCTGCTTGAAGAATGATTTCGATGTCATTATGTATATCCATAACGACTTCTATGTCGTTACGAAAATCAATAAAGCAGTGTGTATTTCATACTAAAACAATATCTAAATCGTATTTTGTTACAGGAACGATTTCAATATCGTTATGTTAATCAGTGTACTTTTCAAATTGGAAAGACATTTATATTGTTTTGTACATTACGACTGATTTTCAATGTCGTTATTAGAATGAGTAAAATGACATTAATACTTTAAGTATCACGGGAATGAAGTGTATATCGTTATTGGTTCTAACAAATGTGAAGGTAGTCAACCCTATCCATTTCTTTGTTGAGTAACATCTTTCACATTCATAAATTTTAACTCTTCCGTGCTGTATTTTTCATCACCGGCAACATGCAATTTTATCAACAAAAGGAATAATCTCCTGTAAGATCAAAATGTGAGTTTCCAAAATTGTCTTACGAATGTGAATCTTCAGACTATTAAACTTAAGAATTGTCCATTATTCAAGATTGATTTGAAGTGCGAATCAATGGTAGTAAAGCACATAAAAACAAGTACATAAGCTGTATAAATCAAATTACTAGCTTCATAACCAAATGTGAAATCATCGTGAAAGATTATTCTTCATTTTACACCTTACTTAATAGTTTAATAAGAGGAATTAAGTCCAATTCTAAACACAATCTCCTTTTTCTTTTTCTTTTTTCTCATAACTTAGAAGATAGAAAACATCAAATTTAGAAAGAGTTAAACAAATAAGTCCCGAGTTACCCTCAACTCACATACATATTTAGGAAAATAGTTAAAGAGAACCTCAAGTCACTCTAAACTCATATACACATTTGGGCAATAGGTCTATTATGCCATCTTCAACATTGTCTTTTACTTCAAGTCACTTTTCTTAAAATACTGTTTCAAGATCCAACTCTGCCCCCAAAGTCTTATGTACATTGTTATCATCACCTGCATTTAAGCCCGTTACTAAAACTAATTCTTCCAACCCTAATCTTGCCCGCTTCTCTTCTATTTTTATACCATACTTCTTCTTTTTTTGTTAGTCTTCATCTCACGAAGCTAGTTTTTGTAATTTGTATAGAGCTTCTCATAAACATCTCGCACTATTTGCAATTTGCATCTCGTTGTAATTGTATCATCTTCTTGAAGAATGTTTTCCATATCATTGAAAATTATAAAACATGTACAAATATTAGAACAATTGATATGAGTAAAGCACATAATAACAAATATAAATATTAGAAATATTAAAACAAGGTATATGTTACCTAACTCTTCATATCTCTCTGTTTTCCCCAAATGTGTTTTTGGAAAATGATGATTAACATTTTAATTAATGAGTTTAGTACTAAATCGAAGATAAATCAAGGGAATAACTGGATTATAATAAGGGCATGTATTGCATATGATGATGAATAAATACTTCTTGTTTGAAAGATCAATGTGAACTCAAGAAAACTCTTAGAAGAAGAGTAGCCAAAAAAA